TGAGGAATGTAAGAAAATGATAACATTTGTAACAAATTTTCACTGTAACAATGATGGTTCTAACATTCCTAAACATATGACTCATATGAAACATATGATTCACCTATACTCTAGGTGAATTTTGAAGAGAAATATCACAAGAATGCCAGAGATAAAAGAAAAGGTATATTTGAAAGATGGTGTCATATAGCCCAGGCTAGCCTTGAATTCTTTTTGGTTTTTGTTTGTTTGTGTAGTGGTTTGAAGATGCTTGGGCCATAGGAAGTGGCACGATTAAAAGGTGTGGCCTTGTTGGAGCAGATGTAGCGTGGTTAGAGGCAGTACATCACTGTAGGGGTAGGCTTTGAGATCCTACACTTAGGCTCTGCCCATGTTTGGAAGAGACTCTCCCCCTGACTGCCTGAAGAAGTCAGTAGGCTCTTTCTGGCTGCCTTTAGATCAGGATATAGAACTCTCTTCTAGTACTATCTCTGTCTACATGCTGCCATGCTTCCCACCATGAAGATAATGGACTGAACCTCTGAAACTATAAGCCAGCCCCAATTAAATGTTGTACTTTATAAGAGTTGCCTTGCGGGACTTCCGGTCTGGGCCCGAGCATAGAGCAGGTCACAGGCGGCAGCTCCGTACCCAACACCAGAAAACCGAGAGAAAGAGGGACTCCCAGAAGCTTTAACTCAGGCAGCATCCCAGGTAAAAATGAATCACTCGTGATGTCTGCTGTTAGAAGTTCTAATCCAGATGCTGGCCTCCAAACTTATACTACTCAGACCTTTGAAGGGCCACTGACAAGAACATCAAACAGCTAGAGATTGACATCACTAATCTGAAGAAATCCCTCGTTTCGCCGTCTGAAGAGACCTCCTAAAATTGCAAAGATCCTTATTGGACTTGATTTACTCTAGTACAATAGAAAAGACTGTATACAGCTCTTGACTGTGTACAACCCTCAAAGAAGAAGGTTGCCTTTACATAGAAAAGACAAAGAGGGTTAAAGAGAGCATGAAATAGGTAGTAATGCCTAAGAAAAATCAGAGAGAGAAAGAGACAGATGAATGCTGGTACAAGAATTGATTTGCAGCCTCTCCAAGGTTGTCAACCCTATTTCCTTCCATCTTGGGACCATTATTTGGGTTCTTTTTGCTTTTTTTCTGCTGGTCCCTGGCTCTCAAATAGGCGGACTAACTCTGTGATACAACAGATAAATAATTTGGTAGCAAAACCTACTCAGATACATTATCATAAGTTAGCTATGGAGGACCACGAGACTCAAGATGAGGTTGTTACTTTATACAGGGTGTTTCCAAAACCCATCTCCACCCAACCTAAAAAGGGGGGACTTCTGCCCCTAGACCAAGCAGAGAGGGGCCACCCAGAACCCCTTCTGACAGGCGATCTGAATTCTTGCTTAGGCTGCGAGGCTAAGCACTGCAAGGGAATATCAATAAAAGATAAAAATATCTCTCTGGGTTCCCTGAGGGACAAGCCTGACTGCATAGGGGTTGATGTCAAAAGTATCCCCTCTCCAGGAAAAAGACATCGGGATGGGTATGGCCCTCATGCCTCACTGGACAACAACAGGGGGACTGGAGCCATTACAAGGTCCCCTTCAAATACTGGAGGTCAGGCCTCTATCCCCACCTTCGCAAGTTTAGAATTGCCACAGTCCTTCTATACTTAGAGAAGGGAGGAGATGTCAGGGGCAGCCCTGCTTACACACTGTAGGCCTAAAATCAGCCACAGGTCTAAAATCAGCAGTGGGCCTGTCATACATGTATACTAACACCAAGTCTTGAGTCTCAGTGGAAGAACATTGAAACAGATGGCTATAAGCTAATGTCAACGGGCAGCTTTTGTGGAAATTTATAAGCCTGAGTGGTCATGGACCTTGTAAATAGGTAGCCTTGGCAGATTATACCAGCTTAGATGGGGACAAGCGAGTCATAGGCAGAGTCATGGTGACTTGCCCCCTGAACCTTCACTCAGCCGATACCTGGTTCTGAAGATATCTGTATTCCCCCTGAGCACCCACACTCCAGTGTCATTCCCTTCCCCACATCCTGCCTTTCTGTGTTTATACCCCTGTGTGAATTAATTATGATTTGAGAAAAAATTATAAAAAAAAGAACAGACATGAAAAAAATAAAATACAAAAAAAAAAAAACAGTTGCCTTGGTAATGGTGTCTCTAAACAGCAATGAAACCTAAAGTAAGACAGAAGTTAGTACCAGGGACAGAGGTATTGCTATGATAGCCCTGACCATGTTTTTATTTGGAGGATTGTGGATTAGGGGAGTTTGAATTTGGAAAGCATTGGAATGCTTTAAATGGGGCTTAATGGGCCATCCTAGTAGGAATAGGGAAGACATTGGTGCTGAGAGTGATTTGAACTCTGAGGATGTGGCTCAAGTGAGGAAGTGGCTCCAGAGGAGAGGAATTTTAATATGTTGTCTGGAGATCTATCTTTTGATGTTTGGGTGCATAATGTGGCTGCTTTTTGCCCTGTCCTGGGGAGTCTGCCTGAGGCTAAGGTGAAGAGATTCAGATTGGTTGTATTGAGGAAGGAGGTCTCAAAAAAGCCTAGCATAGACTTTGCCCTATGGCTCACTCTTATGAAGAAGGTTTTGATCAAGCATAGCAAAATGAGAAAGGAACATTACAAATATATGGTTCAAAGATGAAAGAAAGGACACAAGGAAGTGAAATGTAGCTAAATCCTGTGTTCAAGGATACTAAATGGAATTAAGGAGTAGTGACCTTGGGGCAAGATCTTATCCAGCTAAGCTTATTGTTTATGCTTGTTTGCAGCTGAATATGGGATAGATATATCATGTTAGGTGTTATTATTACCTGGTTATTATTTTCATTTGGATTTTTAATCTGAAATGAACTACTACTTTGATCTAAGGCTGCCAGGTTTTTATTTTTATTTTATTTTAATTTATATGTATTTTATTTTTATGTGTTTTTTTCCTACATGTATATTTGGTACCTGAGGAAGCTAAACAGTGTCTGACTCTGTAGGGCTGGAGTTGGACTGTTGTAAATTGTTATGTGGGTGCTGGGAATCAAATTGAAGTCCTCTGGAAGAACAGCAACTGCTCTTAACTGCGGAGTCATTTCTACAGCACACATTTTCTTTAAAAAAAAATAATAAAATAAAGCTTATATTTTCTTTGTGTGCCACAAAGTGGCACACAAGGTGTATGGAGATCTGAGGAAACTTGTGAGACTCAGTTTTCACCTTCCACCATGAGGATTGAATTTAGGCTTACACATTTCACTAGGCCAGCCTATCAGTTTTGAATGAGGCCTAGAGCAAATAGTGTAGTATGTGATGAACACAGATGCAAAAGTCTCAATTAAAAAATTCAAATTAAGTTCAGCAGTACATAAATAGGGCAGATAGTATTGCTAATCAAATACCATATTTCACAGCAAGGAAATATTGATCAACACCAGGGTAGAAAATCTTTTATTTTTATTCACTGGTTTATAATAGCTCCTTGCATATAATTGTTGTTCAATAAATGAGTAAATATAATAGATTCTTTACATTTGTTTTGCTACATTAAAAGGAAACATCCACATGGTATCTGGGTAATGTCAAAACAACTATTTAACCAATTCCATGCCCCTCCCCCACTTTTTTTTTGTCAGTTTCCCATTTGGCTTTTTTCATGAAAATATAATCATTAATTGATTAATTACATGTGTGAGTGTTCTTGCTCAGTATTGTGGAAATCAGAAGACAAGTTATGATAGTTTTTCTCTCTCCCCACTATGTGAGGTTGGGGATTGAACTCAGGTCTTTCAGCTTGTGTTATATCCTTGATGTGCCTGTCTGCAGTCCCTAGTTTCCTCCCACGAAACCCTAAGTAATTGATTGCATCTTAGGCTGTCCCAAGATACCCATTGGCTGCAGGCACAAAGCAGCACAGCTTGTGATTCTAGAAGTGGCCAATATTTCAAGCTTTACTTGACAATCTCAGAATTTAAAGTGTGTGGTCTCTGGAGACATGGCCAAACCCTTCTGGCCAATGCTTAGTAGAGCCTTGCTCAATAGGTGAGTGTCTAGGGCTCACTCAGTTCCCCAGGTAGAGGAGTTCCAGCCTGCAGACTGAGGAGGCCCATGCAGGGTTTTCAATCAAGGACATTCCTCTTTGGTTGGAGCATGAAAAGCTTTGTTTCAGTCATGGAGTCATAAAGTCTCTCATAAGTTTGGGGAGTTACAGAATCGAAATAAAATCTCATATCAAATGGGGGAACGAGGGAGTCCTTTTCAGTCTGAGGTGGCTACTGTGAAGAAATGCCTGAGAAAAATGTCTGAGCTGTGAGAAAAAAAAATCTTTGCTTAGTATCAGGGTTTTGTTGTTCTTGTTTATTTACAGCAGTTTCAAAGAGATCAGGGATATGAGGAAATCCCTGTCATGTTGAAAGTCACAAAATTGAGGTTGATTTTAGGTTTGGGGATAGTGATACTCGTTACTGACTCCAACTCCAGGACTATGACTTGAGAGCTTAGTCTTGTTTGCCTTGTCCTTAAAGACTTTGAGATAACTTTCTAATAACCTGACCAGAAGTGGAAGGATTTCTTGATCTCTTGTCCTTCCTATTTTGTAGATGAGAGATGGTCTCTTTCCAAGCTCCTCCTTCATTCTTTATGCTGTAGTTTGCATCATAATAACAGGAATGGAGAATTCTAGAACCCAAGAAGCAAGAGGCCAGCGACAGAGTGGTTACAGAAGCTTCTTGAGAGGTTTCAGGTATTTATATGAAACACCAGAAAGTTACCACCTGACTTCAGGGCAAAAGAAAGTGGCCTGGGAAGGGCTCAAAGGTAGAGTAGGACAGAACTATTTCTCTGTTCTCTCTCTTAGTGAAATAAATTCTAAAGTCTGGGTCCCTGTGATCCATCATCAACAAGGGAGGGTGTTTGCTGCTACCTTCTCATCCTCTTTGAACACCACAAACCTTGGTATGCTCTAAAACCTGTGAAGATGGCCTTGGTACCTGTGTATTGTCTTTGTCGACAGCCTTACAATGTGAACCACTTCATGATTGAGTGTGACCTGTGCCAGGACTGGTTTCATGGTAGCTGTGTTGGGATTGAAGAAGAAAAGGCTGTTGACATTGACATCTACCACTGCCCAGACTGTGAGGCTGTATTTGGGCCTTCCATTATGAAAAAATGGCATGGATTATCTAAAGAGTGTGAAGCTCTCCAGAGGGAGCCAGTGAAGACTGGGAGCTCTATCTTTATTCACCAAATCCAGGGTAAGATTTTTGACAGCTCTGACAAAGTGATTTTGAAGCCCACAGGAAGTCAGTTGACAGTGAAATTCCTGGAAGAAAGAAGTTTCAGTATACCTATCCTTGTCTTGAAGAAAAATGGGTTGGGAATGACACTTCCACCAACATCATTCACTATCAGAGATGTTGAACAATATGTTGGTTCTGACAGAGAGATTGATGTGATTGATGTGGCATGTCAGGCTAGCAGCAAGATGATACTGGGTGATTTTGTGAATTATTATTACAGCAGGAAGAGGAAAAAAGTCTTTAATGTTATTAATTTGGAATTCTCTAATACTAGACTTTCAAATATAGTAGAGATGCCCAAGATAGTTAGTAAGCTTTCCTGGGTTGAAAATCTATGGCCAGAAGAGTGTGGCTTTGAGAGACCCAATGTACAGAAGTATTGCCTTATAAGTATGCAGGATAGCTATACAGATTTTCACATTGAATTTGGTGGCACTTCAGTCTGGTATCATGTACTTAAGGGTGAGAAGATCTTCTACCTGATCCACCCAACAGATGCTAACCTGACTCTTTTTGAGTGTTGGAGCAACTCTTCTAACCAAAAAGAAATATTCTTTGGTGACCAGGTAGACAGATGTTACAAGTGTTCTGTGAAGCAAGGACAGACATTTTTCATTCCTTCAGGATGGATCTATGCTGTGCTGACCCCTGTGGATTGCCTAGCATTTGGGGGAAACTTCTTACACAGTTTAAACATTGAAATGCAGCTCAAAGCCTATGAGACTGAGAAGCATCTGAGCTCAACAGCTCTCTTCAAGTTTCCAAGCTTTGAGACCATCTGTTGGCATGTGGGAAAGCACATCCTGGACATCTTCGAAGGTTTGCGGGAGAATGGGAGATGTCCTGCATCCTACTTGGTCCGTGGTGTTAAAGCTCTAAACTTGGCCTTTCAAGCCTGGACAAGGAAAGAAGTTCTGCCAGACCATGAGGATGAGATCCCAAAGACAGTGCAGACTGTCCAGCTCATTGAAGATCTGGCTAGGGAAATTTGTCTGGTTGAAGATACCTTCCAACAGAAAACCCCAAAGAAAAGTACTATCTTTAGGCTCCAGCAGTTCCATACCAATTCCTCTTTCTTAACTAGGCCAGCTCATTCCACTTCAGTATTCAAGTCTACATTATCACTGCCCTCCAAAAGTGGTTCAGAAAAGAAAAGCCCAAAGTATAATATCTTCAAGAAGGAAGAACAAACAAGCAAAGAGAGTCCAGCTCTGGGGCCTAATTATCAACATAGCTGTAATTTCATGGATCTAAATAGTCATCAACAATGGAAGGTGGCCTCTTCCCAAAATGTAGAGTTTAACATCACTAGTACTTGTTTGAATGACTCAGATGATAACTCAAAATATGACAAAATCTTTGATGGAAATGAGAGCCTGGTGCCTCTGTTGATGGCTAATGGCAGTGCCAAGAGACTGAAGAGCTTGTCCAATTCTTGGCAAGCCAAAATCATAAAGAAGGAAGATAAATCAAGGTTGGTGGAAGAACAAGTGATGGTGAACAAGTTTGACTTGGATTCAAATGATGAGCTGCAGACTGAAAAGAGATTGGGCAAAGAGAAAGTGAGTCTGGTAGTAAGACCAAAAATTCCCCCAAATTTGCCCCATGTGAAGTTTTGCTCTGACCAAAACCAAAGTCATGAACCAGGGAAAACTGAGATCACCATTGCAGAGAACTATGAAATAGATGAGGAAATGGTAGAAGGGGCTGAAGGCAACCTTAAGAATGGAAGTGAATTTGATGGAATTCTTGATCCACTTAAGGCCAGGAAACAGGTAGGAGGACCTGGCTGTGTTGTCCTTACTTATGACCCAGACTCTTCCAGCAATAAGGAGGTTATTCAGGACACTATGTTCATGGCTGAATTGCAGTCCTCACCCCTTTCACCAGCTCCCTCCAGCCTTCAGGGATTTTGGAGTGGGGGGCAAGACCAAGGCAACAAAAGTCCAAGCAATGTATTGGGCACAGCATCTAACAGTAATGTTTCTCAGCACATCCCAAGAAAATGGCCCATCAAGCGGCTAGCATACTGGAGAACTGAAAGTGAGGAGGAAAATGCCTATGTGGATGAGCAGGACAGCTTGGGAGCATGCTTCAAGGAAGTTAAGTATACCTACTTATCCCTGGAATCTGATGATGATGATGATGATGATGATGATGATGATGATGATGACGATAACCCTGTTTTGAGATCTCTATCAAAGAAAAGGAAGATATCAGATAATGACCCACAGATTCCTCAGGCAGGTGAGATCCCAACACTACTGAAGCAGGATCATCCTGTGCTTGAGGGTACCAGAGTTGCCTCCATTGAGAGAGGCTTGGCTACAGCAGCTACAAAGTTGGCACAGCAGGTGAACAACATGAAGCTCTCTCTCTGACTAGTCCACAAAAAAGCAGCCAATAAACAGAGAAGATAAGACTTAAATCCATACCCTCAAACTTCAGCTTTTCTGTTGCTGATACTTAAGTGAATACATATTTTAGTAAAAATATCCTATTTAAATGAAACTTAATAGGATTGTGTTTTTAATAGGAAGTTCTATAGAATTGTAGAGTTTCTTAGAAATGCCTTCTAGGCTATTATTGGGACCCAGAAGAGATCAGGCAGGTCAAGAAGCTTTTTTATTAAAACTTGCCCCTGTCATTTATATCTCAGTGCTGTGTGTAACTTAGAAATAAAGGAATTTTACTGCTTTAAATAAACTGAAGATGAAGAAAACAAAAGGACCACAACAATAAAATATAAGCAAAAGACTCACCAATATCTGTCTTGAGACGGTTTATTCTTATAAATACTTAAGATCCTATTTTGAGTTTTGCTTGAGTCTAGGAATTTCTCCTGGGATAGACTTCACCAAAATAAATGTATTAGAATCCCATTGTTACCGAACAGTTTTAATCAAGAATATACTGAAGATTTTATTTCCCAAACACACATATCACTAGTCAATCATAAGGTTGTTTTATGAAATCTGGGATGTATAATGAATGATTAAAATCTTTGGAACAAAAAAAATATCTTGCCTAATACAAATAAAGGGAATCTCTATCTTTGTTTGGATATGGTATGTCTCCTAAAGAGTCACACACCCAAGGTTTGTGTCCAATGCTGGAGGTTAAGGGAGTCTCTTGGGCTATAACTTCACTGATTTTTATAATTTCAGTTCTTCACTATTAGCTTCATAAGTAAACTGACTCATGAAAGTGGTTGAAGTGCAGCCAGCAGGGTTCATCTGGAAGTAGCATGATCTTGAATCGTATCTCTTGCATCATGCACTTTGCTCTCTATTTCTCAACATCCATGGAGTACACATTCTTTTTTTAAACTGATTCTCATGGCTGTGATGCCTTATCATTGGTGCAAAGAAATGGAGCCAGTCAACCATGCACTGAGACATTTGGAACAATGTCCACTATAAAGTTGCTTTTCTTAGCTATTTTAATGCTTTGTTTGCTTGTTTATTTTGTTTTGAGATGTGTTCTCTCTAGATAGCCCTGGCTGTCCTGGAACTCACACTGTAGACCAGCTGGGCCTCAAACTCACAGAGATTTGCTTTTCCCTGTCTCTCAAGTGTTGAATTTGAAAACATAGACTACCATATCGGCCTTCTAAGCTATTTTTAAAAGATGTCTTAATTTTATTTTAATTGTATGAGTGTTTTCCTGCTGTTTACATGTGCACCATGTGCATGTCTGGTGCCTGCAGAGACTAAAAGAGGGTGCTTGATGCCCTAGAACTGGAGCTATAGATGGTTGTGAGCGGGCTAAGGGTCATGTGAACAGAACTCGGGTCCTCTGTAAGAGCAGCAGCTCCCTTAACCACTGAATCATCTCTCCAGCCTCACTTCTTAGTTCTTTTTAGCATTAATATACAGCTCATTGGTGCACTCAATTTTTTAAGACAGTATTAACAGAGTGGTTAAAATATTATTAAAAATAAAAGCAGAATTTAATGGGCTACACATAGTTGATGAAGCAGTAGGGAGTCCATCAGAAATCACAGTCTAGGGCAGAGAAAAGGCTCAGAGGCTGTGTTGTTTGGTAAGTGCATCTGATGCACACTTGTGCATCATACCTGTATGGACTCAGTTCAGATCCCCAGCACAGTAGAAGAAGCTACAGATAGCATGTGTGCCTGTAACCTCAGTGCTGAGGGGTCTGGAGACAGAATGGGTCAATTTGCTGTTAGTCTGCTTAGGTTCAGACTCAGCAAGAGTCCATCTTAAGGGAATAAGAGACCAGGAGTCCTCGTCTGGTCTCCATGTGTGGTCTTTCTCTGGCCTTGGAGTGTACTTGAGTGTGTTTACCTATATGCACTGTGAATACACTATGGACACACATTCACAAACACATACAATAAATAAATAAAAGGCTAGAGTTCCCACATAAGGGGGAAAAAAGCACACCAGAACAGCTTACACTTCAACATAGCCTAAAATCATCTAGAGCAAACACACCTATTGGTCAAGGTCCACACCCTGCCAAAACAAGGTGGCGAGAAAGCCTACTGTGTTCTGACATGGACTGTAGGATGGATACGCAGTCTGAAGGGTCCAGAGAAAAAAACCTGCTGTGGTCAGAAAATGATGTTGCTTCTGTTTCATTTTAGATGAGAGAGGAGCCTATGAGAGTTACCCCTACCAGTGACTGATGGCAGTCAATGGGTGCTGAAGAGGACATTTTTTTTTCATTTTGCTGTTACATGAGAAAGTGACTTCTAATACTTTATTTATTTATATCCCAAATGCTGCTCCCCTTCTGGTTCCCCCTCACAGAGTCCTTCCCCTTATCTCCCCATCCCTTGTCCTCTGAGGATGTGGTGGCCCCCTGGGTAACACCCCACCCTGGCACATCAAGTCCCTGCCACATTAGGTGCATCCTCTCCCACTGAGGCCAGACAAGGCAGCCCTGTTGGGGAATGAATACCACAGTCTGGCTACAGCTTTAGGAACAGCCTCCACTCCAGTTGTTAGAGGACCCACATGGAGACTGAGCTGCACATCTGCTACAGTATATGTCAGGGGCCTTGTTCAGTCTCTGAGAGCTCCCAGGGGTTTAAGTTAGGTGACTTAGCTGGTATTTCTGTAGAGTTCCTATCTCCTGCAGGGTGGGTTTGGAGACCCTCCTCCTGACTGCCATGCCAGTCTTCTCCTAGCAGCCTTCAGATCAAGATGTAGAACTCTCAGCTTCTCTTGTATCGTGCCTGCCTGGACTCTACCACGCTTCTGCCTTGATGACAAGGTACTGAACCTCTGAACCTAGAAACCAACATCAATTAAATGTTGTCCTTTATAAGAGTTGCTTTGGTCATGGTGGCTGTAAACCCTAACTAAGACAGGGCTTTATTCAAATAGCCAGAAACTGGAAACTATCCAGATGTCCCTCAACTGAAGACTGGATAAAGAAAATGTGGTTCATTTATACAATGGAATACTACTTGGCTATTAAAAATGAGGACATTGTGAATTTTGCAGGCAAATGGATAGAACTAGGAAATATCCTTAATGAGGTAACACAAACCCAAAAGGATAGGCATGGTATGTACTAAATTATAAGTGGATATTAGCTACAAGTACAAGCTAACCATGTTATAAACAACAGACCCAAAGAAGCCAAATAAAAACGAGGGCCCAAGGGAGGGTAGTTGAATCGTCCTCAGAAGGAAAAATAAAATGATGAAGGTGCATGGAGGGAGAGGACAGGATGGGAGAGGGGATGGGGAGTGAAGTGAGGTGGGTGGGGGAAGAGAGCAGGGGAGAGAGAATGGAAATTGGCAGTGGGGGTGGAGGTAGGTAGGGAGGCAATAGCTAGTACATTTGAGAGACCTGGGATGGAGGGAGGCCCCTGAGGGCCATGGGAGTGACCGTAGCTGAAACTCCTGGGGGGTAGAGGAAATATGGATCATGAATTGGCCACTTCCTGTAGCCAGGAAGGACTCCGAGGGGAGGGATAAGAAACATCCGACCCAAAATTTGTTCTGCCTACAAGATATGCAGGGACAATAACAGAGCAGAGACAAAGGGAATGGCCAACTAATGACTGCTCCAAATTGAGACTCAACCCATGGGAGAGAACCGTTTCTTGACATTATTAACGATACTCTATTATACTTACAGGCAGGGGCCTAACAAAACTATCCTCTGAGAGGCCCCACCCTGCAGCCAATGGAAAGAAATGCAGACACCCACACCCAAACATTAGATGGCGCTTAGGGAGTCTTATGGAAGAGTTAGGGGAAGGCTTGAGGAACATGAAGAAGACAGGGACTCAGAGTCAACTAACCTAGACACTTGGGGATCCCAGAGACTGAACCACCAACCAGTGAGTGGACATGGACTGGACCTAGGCCTTCTGCTCACATATAGCAGTTACACAGCTTGGTCTTCATGCACCTCACCCTACAACTGCAGCAGAAACTGTCCCTGTATCTGTTGCCTGCCTGTCTGCCATGGATCATGGTCCCCTAACTGGATGCCTTGTCTGGCCTCAGTGGGAGAGGATACACCTAGTACTGAAGTAATGATGTGTTCCCAGTGGTGTGTGGGTGAGTAGTAGGCCGGAGGGGATGAGGATGGAAAGGTTGGGGTGGGGAGGTAGGGGCATGGTATAGGGATGAGGAGGGTGGAATGGGAATAGGATCTGATGAGGAGGTACTGAGAGGAGGGGGCTGATTTGGGAAGTTAAGTGAATAAATATATTAATTAAAAATATTTAAACCGAATTTTTTGTCTCTCTCTGTTTTTCTGTCTCTCTGTCTCCCTCTCCCTTTCTTTCTCCTTCTCTTCATCCTACTAAATGTTTTTATTTCAAGCACAATTGATGGCATTGTTGTATAAAGCAAAATGATGGGGTTTGACATATTAACCAAATATTACACAATGTTGCTATAATTTTTAATTAATTAGTTAATTAATTAACACCCCAAATAATGCCCATTCCTGGTTCCCCCCTAACAATGTCCCTCCCCCATCCTCCTTCCCTTTGCCTCTGTGATGGTGGGTCCCCATGGCTATCACCAAACCCTGACGCATCAAGTCTCTGTAGTATTAGGTGCATCCTCTCCCACTGAGGCCAGAAAAGGCAGGCCTCTGCTACATATGTACCATGGGCCTTGGTCCAGTCTTTTTAGGCTCTTAGGGTGGTGTCTCAGTCTCTGAGAGCTCCCTGGGGTCCAGATTAGTTGACACTGTTGGTCTTCCTGTAGGTCTCCTATCTCCTTCAATCCTCCAACTCTTCCATAAGGGTCTCCAACCTCCATCCAATGTTTGGCTGTGAGTATCTGCATCTGTTTCAGTCAGCTGCTGGGTAGAGCCTCTCAGAGGACAGTTATGCTAGGCGCCTGTCTGCAAGCATAACAGATATTATTAATAGCATCAGG